CTGCAGCTGCGGCTGCTGTCAGCCAGGTCCTAGCTGTGGGTGCAGGTGCTACAGGCCTTGGTGGTGGTCTCCCACATGCTTCCGCTGCAGCTATGCTGGCTGCCACTGGTGGCCAAACTGCTGGTGGGGCAACCGCTGGACCTGCGGGTGATGCTGCTCAACAAGCTGCTGCCGCCATGGTAGCTGCTGGAATGATACGAGGGTAATTATCTAGTCGTGAGAACTATTTTCAATTCTTGGTCTCATTCATACTCCCTTTCTAGTGTTCCAGGCAGGGTCGGAATGGGTATTTTGGGCCCGACAACGACCACTCAGGTCTCAGTTCAGAATAAGATGATTGGTGCAATTATGGGCAGGGGAGGATGCCGAATAAATCAGGTCCGGCAGGAATCTGGGGCTGATATCAAAATAAGCAAGCAAGAACCTGGTGTCGAGGATCGCATCATTACCATTACGGGTACGCCAGATCAGATCCATAATGCACAGTTCTTAATGCAGGTTTGGTAAGTAATCTTCTATCCTTACGTTTTTTTTGTTCATTTTATTTAATTATAACGTATTCTTGCAGTGTAAAACGATATGGTGACCAGACCGGAGTCTAATGAGGTTTTCCCATGCAGCTGAATATATTTTTTGCAGTTAAATGACATGCATCCAGCTATTCGGCTATATTCTTGTTTTATTTCGCAATTGTTGTGCACTTCTTTTATCTTGGTCAATATTTGACTCCCTCTTTTACCCGTTTTCTTCGTTGAAACTTGTCAATTTCACCCTCATCACTATCGCAACGGCTCTCCCACCGACTGTACATGCGTATCCCAAAAGCCTTTTCTCGCCCGATCCAATAAAATTTTCCAACTCGCTTTTGTTTTAATAAACCTAACAGCTGCCAGTTCCTTAAGTACTTGCTGCGTCAAGGTCCTTGATTTCGTTGCGTTTTATATCTATTTGAATAGTGCGAGCCCGAATGTTTAATTATAATCAGCAATCCGATTCATAATTTTATTGACTCAGGTCGATCCTGATGGAGTTTGCTCAGCCAGTGCGTATATGTTAGTGTTTCTCTGCATTATTCGACCACATCTGCCCGCTTTATTTCGCTAGGAACTTGTCATCTTATTTTATCACTCCCGGAACTTGCTGTGTTTACTCCGGCTATTTGTGTTACAACCGTTATCAACCAGATCAGCCCGAAGCTTCTCCGAATTGGAAAATTCGTTCCTCTCATAGCCAATATTCTTGGTTTATTTTACCACGGTACCAGATTGGTATAGTCGATTTTATCCCTTATTGGCAAAGCCGTTTGCTTAAGCTGAGGGATTCATCGCTCGTATTAATTCAGATTTATCGTGATCGTTCGTCACCGGGGTCCGGGCTTGTCAACACCTTGTCTTAGGTCTCGTTTCTGCACGCACAATTTCGTACTATTTATTAATGCTTAGTGGTCAAACGTTGGCTCATTTAACCAATCTGCTGGCTACACCCCAAAATTCGCGTAAAACGGGCATGTTTTGTTTTCATTTAATAGAGTTAAGTAGTGTGATACCACTGCTGGGGCCAAGCTAGAACCATGTAAGGGCGAGACCCACGGAACGATTGAGCACGGGCTAACGCGGTTACTTGTAGCTGGGACGAGTGCGTTTTACTTTGATTGAGTAACTCAATTTGTCTAGGTTTCACAGCGAATGTCGACCGGGCGTGCTTCGATTCGCTAATTTCGGCGCAGTGGCGTTCCTCTTTCTTATTCGGCTAAGCATGAGTTTATCACCTTTGATAAATTATTTCGGGACCACCTACCCGGAAGGATGCACTCTGCTAATAACCATTGCGACCGGTGTATATTCAACATTAACTCTGATTAACTTGTATTGCACTGAACTTATGTTGATTTTTTTCATCGCCACTATCCGCGTTTGCAGGCTTTTCAATATGGCGATGCCTCTTATAGGAATGCATTTGAATGCAATGCATTCAAATTATAGCGAACTTCCCCACAGGCTGATTGCACCCCGTAGCACCATCAAAATTCACTTAAATCTCCCTCCCAGGAGATACTTATAGCCGAAGGTCGACTGCGTTTTCGACCTCGCCCAGGCTTCATAAACCCTCAAACTGATCGTTTCCGCCTCGTGCCGCATTTATTTACATGTTATCGCTTCAGTGGGGGCGCGGCCTTTAAAGAAACCTAGTCACATTGGTTGATGGCTTCATGTGTGAGTAGTGACTTGGTTTTCCAACTGTGATCAGGTTATTGGGTCATCCATTTCATATGCTGCCCTGATTTCATCCACATTGAAGGCGCCCCGCAGACAGCTCTGTAATCATACCAACAATTTAATACTTCCAAGAATCCGAGCCATTGTGATTCGCTGTCACTTAAATAATGACGGTTGGTAAGTGTATTTCCGGTCTTGTCTTGCCACATGAAAAGCTATCCCCACCTGCAAACAACGTCACAATTATTGGCCTTATTCAGACCTTCCATCAGGATTCTATTCGTAGCCCAAAACTCGAACTAAGAAAGGTCTATCTGAAAATATATACATTTAAAGGATCTAAATGACTAAAGATTAAGCATCAGCTTAAGGTAGGATTGCATGAGTTTTTCCGAGTACGAGGTGACGATATACGATAAAATTTAAACTTTTGAACACAGAATTTCCATATCTGCCCACAACGAGGGAAGATACAGTGGCCATGGTCGATATTGTAAGTTCATATAGTCAGAGCAACGTGATGTTTAAGTAGATCAAGATGAAGTGTCTATAAATAACATTTACAACCAAATACGAAAGTTGGACGGAATATGCGATTTATAGCTGTGTTGAATGCAACGTGAATGTATTAGAATGAAGAGCGCTCATACAGGCAAGCGTGTTGGAATTTGATTGATGTAACGTGGTGAATTGATACATAGTTGGTTTCTCTATATTGAGAGTAGTAGTGCGCACCAACTAAGTTATAAGCCCCCTTTCATAATGTCGAGCCCAGGCTGGTTCTAGTTACCATTGATGGAGGCGTGGCTTGAAAGTCTATTCATATGGTATATACTAATTAAAACGAGCCTATCTAAGTCGGGCTCCGAATGGTGATTTGACTACCTTGATGTGAAATTAAATGGGAAAGGTTTAAAATAGACAAAATTAAATAAATTTAAGTGTTTCTCACAGTAATAAGCAGGCCAAGGACAAACGCCAGTGACCAGATTTCTATTTAAGAAATTAACATAGTCTCGAATTTACATTAAAATAAAATAGCAATTGATTGAGTCAGCGAACAAGGGGCGGTATTTAAAGCAATAAAAATTTCTAGTGCAAGAATATCGTCGGTAAAGAATAGCTTAGGCTACTACCTATATAAGAGGGCAAAATGAGGATTCTGGATTTGGCCGAAATTGCTTACTTGAGCTACATTATTAGCGACAAGTGTATAGTTAATCCTAAAAATAAGCTCGATTTTAAATCGCTGAAAAGGATGCTTCGTGATTTGCATTTTTTCTCTCACCTGAGTTCCTTAAAAATGAGAATAGGGCTGAATTCTGCAAAGCAAAAGATTTGGGAATTTTTGCTTCTCTCGAAGATATCGTCTATAGCATCACTTGATGAAAAAGTCTTATATAAGCTGGAAAAAAATAATCCTCTTAACAAGGAAGAGAAGTAAACTATTATTCTACCAGTCAAGCATTTGACCTTATATTAAATTAAAAATAAATATATAGGTTTAACCATCATGTTTTTCCAAAAAAGTGAGTTGAATTCCATTAAAATCTAGATTTACTAACTAAATTCGCATCACATCACATATCACTTCGACTAGTTAACTCTATCTTACATTGCCTCAACCTCCTATATTATATCTTTTCACACAATCTAGCCTCATCATATATATATTCATATCTCATTAAAAACAACTAAACTCGGTTAATAAGATGTTTACCTCGTTTTTGCAAATAGATAATATTGGCAAGAAGACTTAGAGGAACGCACTTAGTCCGAAGTCAATTATATGCATGATAATTTACAAAGTCCGACCGTGGACGTGGTACATTCCCAGACGTTTCGCCGGCATCGTCAGTAAGTCTTGCCATTCCTAGCACCATACTAAAACTCGTTTAAGAGACAAGGAAAGCCGATCTTGTGACCAAATATGTGATAAACAGTCGTGGTATCTCTACTTCTGTAATAAGCTATACACCCATCCTATATTCTCCTATCACGCATTCGCTATCACAATTTATTCCTTGCTTAATTAAATCTAGTGTGGAGTGCCCTTTTGAGCGGCTTTCATGAGAACTCTCTACACTCTAGGTTGGTGTTCTCACCTCCCTTCATCCTTGAGCTGGAAATGTTGATCATAGTCTGTCATATTGGTACGCCGTCTTATCACAGTCTCCCTCTTGCCTCGTAGGATCCATTTGTTATCTCCCTGGTTCAAGTATTTCACTCCACCCCTACCACTCCATCTGTGCTCAACGATGCACTATTTCCTACACTCTGC